GATGTGACCTTTGACCGAGAGAACATGCCTTTTGATCTGCTTTCACGAATTGGGCTTTGGGCGAGGTACCCCAATATGCTGCTCTCGTCGAACAGCGGCTGCATTGGGTAAAGGCCCTTTTATCCTGTTCAGTCAGTGCCAAGGGGTCACAATGTGCTTCATGAACAGCGTTTAGCTGTGAATCTGCACTGGACGCTGGTTGCCAATCGAACACAGACTCGCTCAGGAGCACACACATTATCCTTGGAAGTGCCCTGCTCACTACCATTGTGCAATTATTCTGGTGGGCAGCTTGACAACTGATTGGCATGCGATCAACAATGCCTCTATCCGAAGCATTCTGATGGCACAGTTCAGGCAAGCCTGCATGTCTACACTTGTGATGACAGTCTATGTTGCACCCATGCACATATCCCTGTCAAGGTATGCCCTATATGCGGAGGAGGGATCGCACTGCCAGGTCTAGATAATTGTGCCCATTTTGCCACAGTGTCCCTGGCAGGTGGACGGCGTGATATCTGTTTGTCGCATGCCACCCAAAAGAGTGCATGTCGTTGTGAGGACTAGATGCACTCCTTCCACGTGCTTCACCCAAATCTTCCGTGTGGTCATTTCTGAGCAAACAACCCTGTCAGTGACAACGGCCCCTAATGTTAGTCAACTGTGCAGGTGAGTACTGAGGATCTGATCAGATCCTCCCTGCCTTTCTTCCTGATGTATTTTCTCCCCTCTCCACTCGCTTCTCCCTACCCCTTCCCCTGCTCCTTCCACTCTGTTCCTCCAACAGATCTGTTATTTGGAAAACGATGAACACCACTCAGAGAACAATAAATATGGATGAATATCTCGATGAGAACAGACAAAATTACGCAGGTGCAACCGCTCATTCTGTGGAATGGTGTGCAGGCACTTGCCGCTGAACCACAGACACACGGACAAACTTGCAAGACATGCACACAGACACAGACACACATACACACAAACACAAATGGAGAGAGAGAGAGAGAGAGAGAGAGAGAGAGAGAGAGAGAGAGAGAGAGAGAGAGAGAGAGAGTTAAAACCCTGCTGCATACAATGACATCAAGGGTCACGCGTCCTTTTCCCTGAACAAGAAAAACTTTGATAAAAAAATAAAAACTCTAGAGCGTAGACGCAATTTGACTAGACTCCTGCACAACAAGCTTCCAAACAATCAAAATGATGTACTACTCAAAGCCGCCAAAGCTTGCCCCTTCTACCCTCACCATCCAAACCAACTTAATCCATGTGTGTGTGATTTGAACTGATTTCTTTAAAAAAACGAATTCTCTCTCCCATCCCATCCACAAAGCATCATAAACCATCCGTAAAACAAGAGAAAGTATAGGCGGGCAATATAATAGAAGGCGCAAGGTTCCCCACGTTTGTGTGGTTGAGGGGGAAGTGCCCACACACCCATCTGCGCCGAAGCGGCAGACTTGCACACATATATATAGTTGATTCAATCTATAAAAAAGGTGAAGGGCAAAAGGCAAGACACCTAACACAGAAGGATCCACCAGCAAGAAAACACCGACCAGACCCATCAATAGTCCATAAAACTTGGAGAGCCCTCCGAGTCGGCCCACAAGCACAACAGCACTGGCACTCCTATTCCTCCCAAACGGCCCACTCACATCACCACCATCTCTACCATCTCTATCACTCCATGGCTAGACATCCCACATCCGTTATCTAGCCTTTGGAGTATGTAGAGGACCATAATCCCAAGGAACTTCACGCAGCACCAAGAGCACTACTGCTTAAAACACCCTCGAAGTCGCCGTTTCTTCCACGTGCTCCTCCAAAAGAGCAGCCCATGGGAATGACACCCACAGCAAACACTCTCTGAGCCTCCGTGTGAAGATACTGTGGCCAGAACTCCAAGCATACATTCCCACACCAAAGAACTCGTGGCCACCCACAGACATTCCTGCAACAAAAAGGGCATGCTCTAAAACAGGGCAAGGAATTGGGCCATGTATAATAAAGAAAACAACAAGACGTGTGTGTGTGTGCGTGTGCGTGTGTGCGTGTGTGTGTGTGTGTGTGTGNGTGTGTGTGTGTGTGTGTGTGTGTGTGTGTGTGTGTGTGTGTGTTGTTTAAGCACCCGAAATTCTCTCGTTCATTTCCTCCACAAATCATAACAAAACATCCATGTGTGTGTGTGTGTGATTGAGAGAGAGAGAGAGAGAGAGAAGAGTTCACACCCTGCTGGATACAAGGGCATCAAGGGTCACCTGCCCTTTTCCCTAAACGGAAAAAAAAAAAAAAAAAGCAATAAAACTTTTAACGCATTTGACTCAACTCATGCACAACAAGCTTTCAAATATTCAAAATGATGAAGTACTCAAAGCCAACAGAGCTTGCCCTTCTACCCTCCTCATCCGAACCTACTAAATCCATGATACCATGACATAATGGCCCAACAACAAATTACCTATGATCGCCCTGTGGGGGCTGCCAAGACCCAGGTTTAAATGAGTCACCTCGACCTGAGGGCTCGGCAAGTCCAAAGTCGGGCTGCTGACTGGATGAGCTGGTGTCGTCTTCAGCACGTGTTCCCTGCGTTTTGACTGCATGTCACAGAAAAATTCCACAGCATGTCAGCAAAAACTGACCACCAGTGTCAACCACCACTCACACCAAACTGATCGCACCGTAAGCAAAACTATTTCTTTCCCGTTAAAGGGAGTAATACACAATGTTATTACATTCTTCTGGTTCCATCACCATTTGAATTTTGAGCTCACAAGCAGTGTACTAATAGTTACATGTGTATACCATTCAGCCACATGGGGTAGGCAGTAACCAAAACTACTCCGCGTATTTTCGAATTTGACCAGCATTGATTTGCTTGCCTTAGTTATCGGGGTTCAAACCTTAAAACTCCTTCAGATCTTGAGATCAGGTACTGACCAAGCAACAGGAATCAGCAGGTCAATGACAGTCAATTTTGCTTTGAACTTTGAAGGCAATAATAAATCACTTGAGCGCACGCACACAACAGGCCAACACTACAATCTCATTATCTTGCCTCCTATTCATTTGTCATGCTCGCACATGGGACATGCCAATCTACTCTGTATCATTCCTTTCTTTTTCTTTGGAAAGGGGGTAGCCCCGACCATTACGGTATCGATTTATCTGGATTTGAACTAATGGTTTTTTTCATCTGTTACGATCCAGGCCAATTTCGAAGTGCAAATTCACAAGAAAGTGCAATGTCGTCCAATTGCAAAAGAAATGAATGAACTTGAGAGGAGAGAGAGGGAAAGAAGAAGAAGAAAGAAAGAAGAAGAAAATGTACACCGGCAAGGGTTCTGCAACTCCACTCACTTCATTCCCAAGCCCACCTTGCGAACCATGTGCTGACATGAAATTAGTAGTGGCAACCAAGACACGCAGGTAGCGGCGATTAATGAGAAGCTTGAAGAAGATAAACTCCACTGTCCCTTGAGCACGCCGCTGTTTCATCTTTTCCCAATGCTCTAGGTGATAGTGGAGGTCAACCTGCTTAAACTCCTCCCAAGGCTCATCATAAACGACATGACAAGCGTCAGCCTTGGAATCAGCAGATAATGGGGCTTCAAGAGAGGACTGTTGAACCGAATCAGGTTCCTTAGAGGAGCTGCCACTTACTGATGTAGTCTCCCTTATTGTAGAGTGTGCTGATGACATCTCTACGCCCGATTCTAGTTTCCCTCCAGCCTAAAATAGTATTGGACTTCATGCCCCAACCTCTGGCAAAGAAGGCAACCCCCCTTCTTGACCCTAGCCTTCCAATCAGCCTCACTAATCCGGAGTTCCAACCAAGGTTTGGTGGAAGAATCCTCCGGTTTAGCGGGCAGTTTGGCTCCTTCGGGGAGTTGGACAAAATTCTTCCCTGAGTTTCGGTTTGGTCCCTTTGTGTTGGCAAACTTTTTAAAGATACCGAAGTTTCATTCTTCGTTGTTACTCTCATACTCATGGGCCGAAGAGGAACAGGTTGTATCAGCGTCCTGTTCTTGGTCGTCACCAAGAGTGGGGTCGTTTGCATAGGCCTCCTCTTCAACCTCCAACAGGTCAAGCACATTGACGCGGTTGTTGCCTCTGTGGGCTTTTTGCCACCTGTTGTGGAAACGAGGTCTTGTGCCTTGAGGCTGACTACATCCTGCGTGAAGGAAAGCCAATCTGCATACCCAATGAGGTATTTGCCTAGGCGATGTGTGTAAGCAGTGGGAACCACCTCTTTTACAACATCCAAGCATGAATGTGTAATCATTTCCAACCCGGGAGTACCAAAAAGTTTGCTAACATATATCCAGGTTGTGCATGGTGCCCGACCACTTGCTGCACTCGAGGTTGTCAAGCTTGTTTCTGATTCTCGCTGCATCATGTTGACCTTTATATTGTTTAATTAGAATCTCCTCTGGTGTGGCAATGTGTGTGGCTGTAGCCATTGGGTCATGTTTATCCTTGTACACCCAGCCTGTACAACTTGGACTTCAAGGACGCCCCGTACGACGGGTTCCACATTGGTCCCCATGATCAAGGGTTGGGTCACTAGTTGTCTACCTAGCACCTCGAAATAGGATCGCATGGAGCTGATCCAAGACTCTATGCCATCCTTGACATCGTACTTGGACGGTATCTGAACCGCTCTTCTGTCCACATAAAGACTGGACAGACTAATTAGCAGCATTAGAGGTAGGAGGTAGAGGAAGGGGATCATACATTTGAGCCTTGTGCAGATTTGCCATCTGCTGCAACTGGTCACGATGTTCCTTGGCCATATCCACAATTTAAGTCGGCAGTTTACTTACTTGGTCATATAGTTTGGACACTTGACCAGGGAGTTTACTGGGGATGTGACAATCTATTAGAGCACGCACGTAGGTGACCAGATTTGTCTTGACTTCACGGCGTAGGGCCAAACCCCGGTAGACTTTCGAGCCTTGGTCGACCCCACCGCGGGTCCCATTTGGCTCGGCCCGCCCACGCTCATGCTCAGGGCGTGGGCCGTTATCGGCGCGAATACCCTTACAAGGGTATCCGCCCTAGTTTTTGCAAGAGACAGAAAATAAGGTTTATTCAGAATTTGAGTATATCGTGCGAAGTTGCGGTCGTGTCTTGCTCGCGTTGACTGAATGGTTGACGGGAGCAAAGTGTGTGTGGGGCGTCCTAGTCGACCGACGTCGGATCGCGTTTGGGACCTCAGCCCCCCAGTGCGTCGATTCACGTACGAGTCTGCATTTGGGCGTTCGACCGCTCGTACCCCCTATGCTACAGCGAGCGAGAAACACCCTCGGCAGGGCCACCTCTGCAATTGCATATGAAAAGCCTTCGCATGTGGTTCAGTAGCTCGGCGGGGATACACCCACCTAAGGGATGGTGACAGCTCCCGCAGGTGGAGGTAAGCGGTGCCTCGCGTGACCCTGTCCTGTCGTAGGGGCTCGCGAGAGGTACGGCTGGCGCACTCGGCCGGAGCGGCAAACGCTCTCCGCGACAAGTCCTGCATAATCCTGCGTGACGCGGCCGGGAGGGTCCCCGTGCGGGACCGATGCGGTCGACAGGTGGCGCTGTTGCCGGGGATCTCGGCTGCCTACCGGGGTCCTTAAGAGAACGAACCCAGGTTAAGTGCAGGTTGATGATCTAGGCAAAACGACAAATTTTGTTAATGGCGTTAAGTAGATGGGTGATGAGTAGTAGCGACTGCAGTTATAAGTTTGCGAACCAAGGTACCATAAGGTAATACGGACGATGCTATGCGTATCTAATGCCATAGACTGATCGCCGTTCACATTTGATGCAACTCTGCATATTCGGTTATCCAAGGAAGGATCTTTGGTATTTTAACATAGTCGATGAGCTGCCTAAGTTGTCATGGCAGTATCACAGTACGCTAGCGATAGGAAATAACTACGAAAGAGTTGGTTCTAAGGACTCTCGTAAGGAAAAGTCATAAACATTCTATCTATTTAAGCATCTGAGTTATCATTCTGAGATTATATCTTTCAGTCTATCTATGAAATTCATCCATCTGCATCAAAAATTTTCTTTTTTAAGTAAGCGCATTTAAAAGTCGACTCATATAAGACTATGTGCATAATGTTATTTATATGAGTCTTATACATCTATGACTAGTTGCATGTGTCATCTGTCTAATTTTATTCTACCCATGTATAACCCTATGGATCTGTGTTTATTGAAATTATTCAGTTATATCTATCTTGTTTTATATGCATAGGTTGATCTTTTAAAAACGGGTCAGAAATGTTATATAGAATCCACGTCCGATGCGGATTCGGAGGTGAATGGAGTGACCAGTTCCTTGGGAAAGTAAATTTCGCAAGGAGATGGTCAATGTGTGAAGTCTACCCCACGAAAGTTGCAACCCTATGTCGTTATTTCCAAGAAAGGTGGCTTTGAAGAAATTATAATCGAGTCTTGAAGGTAGTAGTGAGACCCACGCCGAAACTTGTTCCTGGCCCATAGTGGGGTATTGTCGTCTAATCTTTGTGATAAAATGACTACACTACTACTTAATAGGAGGAAAGTGTTTGAACCTTGTCAGATCACGGCCTTTGAGGGAGGCAGCTACTGTTTGCCATAGAGAGGTAGAGGGTGAATCCCCAACTATTATTTGTGTCAAGTGGGTTCATCTGCTTGCGAAGGGACAACGTATCCTGGAGTATGTATGGTGAGGTTGGCTACCTTATTGGCAAGGGTTTGCAAGGGGTAAGTGTTGGAATCGGAGGGAGATGCAGTGAGGCTTGATCCTTGAGCGGGGCTCAGGAAATAAGATGTTATCCCTTTGAAAGAGGATTACACTGCCCCTCGACACAGTATACTTCTGTCAAAGCCAGGGAGTAGAATTTAATGCCCCCATTGTTAATGTATCTGAGGACGCTTATTATTGGCAAATTGCAATTTTTGACCTTAGCATGGTATTATTTGTTATAATTATAGCCCCTTTCCTTGTGTTACATATATATAAATTTGGTTGGTCATTTAAGTTATGAATGGTGCTTATTTGTTTACTCAATAAAGTACTATATTATTTCCATTTGGTAATACTTGTTACGAGTTTAGATATTCGCAAGGGTATTATTATTGCAAGGTGCTATTGCTATTTATTGTCATTTAGGATGGGTGGTCGTAAAACGATGGAATGAACGAAGTCTAGTAGAAGATACTTTGAAGTCTTGTAGAAGGAGGGTTTCAGCATAATAACGGAAGGCGTGTGCTGAACGTTGTTTGTGATGGGCAGAATCCGGACCAAACAAGGGCAAATTGAGATGCCATATGCTGAGGAGAATCCCAATATGACCCGGCTAGTTGAAAGAGAGGATGGACTTCAAATATCTTTGCCTAGGCGAGTCAAGGAGAGAAAGTATATCTCTTCCTTGTGGGGCATATTGATGGATATTAATATCTTTGTCTGGATTGAATTTGGCTGTGATGATGATCAAGACGGTGCGATCGTGAGAGCGACCCTATACGCATCATCATCATTCTGGGTAAAGCATGGGATTGAGCTGGCACTTGGGCATGGGAGCCTGCTCGCAAGACCTTTAAGGATAACTGAGGCAGCTGCGGCGAAATGGGTAAGAGAAAGGTTTCGTGAAGGAGGAGAGCAGGTGTCAACCCATATAGAGGTCAAGTGGGTCAGTGAGTTTGTGCTTCCTTCAGCGCCGTTACGCGCCATCCTGCCCGACTTCCTCGTGGAAGAGTTTTTCGGGGGACGAGCAAGGATAGAGGCTGCAGCAGAAGCCGCTTTGAGGACGCGAGAATGGGGGTATAGGTGCTACACGTGTGAGATTATATACGGCCTACACTTAGATTTAAGGTTTCTACCCCCTGGTCAAGGGCTTCGCAATATGGCCAATATTGTGGACGCCTATGCCTGCTCCCATGAGCCGGATGAAAAGGTTGAAGATTGGAGTGAGCTTCGAGCGGCAGTATGTCAATAGAGGATGCTTCTATACTTAGTAAGCGCGTTCATCATTTGACCGAAATTCTTAGAGACTCGTCTATGACTATCTTACTATCGAGTACGAGCACAGTGACTAGTGGCAGTTGTAACAGCCTCTGCTATCAATCTGTAGCTTGTTTCAAAGGTTTTATATCTGCAGAGGTTATATATTCCTCATACGGTTAAAACAAGGATAACTGGAGTTTAAAGCCTTGTCAGACGAACAATGAAAGGGCTAGTGTGATTGGGTATTGACAATGTTATTTACCTCTATTCGTTTTAAGCATCTTAGGCTACAACCTGATGTTCCATTGCTTGTCATATATGTCAGGGCAGTTGTAACATCATGGCTGAAGAGAGTGGTTTGGCCAAGATCCTGCTCTGGAGGAGCTCATGTCTCACGAAGGTGCTGCTGCATGAGTCGGTGCACAACTCGATGGCCCCAGATCTCCAGGCGTTGCTGTTTCGAGGAAAGAATTTGTCTAACTTCCTGCGCGACTACCATAACCTTAGCCGCATGAAGATGTGGGACGAGACAGCAAAGTGCAACATGTTGCCATTATTCGTCGGTGAGGAGTTAAGTGAGGAAATATATACCCTCATGTTGAAGTCGCGAACCTGGGGCGAGTTCGAAAGTTCTTTAAGGTTAAGGTTTCCAGAGGATGGAGAGGAGAGTCAACATCGTGGTAGCCCTGGGCAAGTAATAGGGGATGCGCAGATACAAGGCAAGCTAGGCAGTATACAGAGACAAATGGGAATATTAGAAGAAAGGATGGCGCGATTGGAGGAGGCCAGGAAAGGCAAGCGGAAGATCTCGG